TTTGGATATAGGTAAGTTGTATTTTTTACATAATGACCAGTGGATTAATTTAGCAACTTGGTTGTGTCTAGCTTTGTAATCAGTTTGTGCGATTTTGCTGCATTCACATATTAAATGTGAAACAGTTTCAACTTTTGAAACTGCAATCCAAATGGCAGTTTGGATTGTTGGTGGTGGTTATTATTATTATTATTATTATTATTATTATTATTATTATTATTAGATATACATCAATATCATATGAACAGTGAGGCATCTGAGCATCTGGGCATCATTCATTTAAATACAAATAATAATAGTAATATTAATAATATTTGTTACATTAATCATACTTATGTAATTGTGTTATTATACATATTTGTATTACAGTGTGTTCCTTCATTGTTTAGTTGTTCAGTGTTTTTGTGCACCATTCTAATAACAATCACAATATTATTTAAATGTACAAGGTGATACCATCTTTCAACATCTAATCTTTACATCTAGGTATTACTTTTAGTATATTATATAAAAATATGTATAATAATATTCCCCCTTGATCTTGTTTCTGCCTCTATTCTAGCTCTCAATAAAGCCAATCTTATATTAAACAGCATTCGCTTTCTAACCATCATCTCTTGCCCACTTTAGTATTTCAATTTTTATTTGGTTTCCTAAACTTCTCCCTTGGGTCTTTATCTCTGTCTACTTCTTTCCTATTTAACCCAAATATTTCTTCCATCTCTACTATTTTTTGCTGCCATACCTCCGGTATGCCCAAGCCCCTATCTTCTCTTCAAAAATATCTTTCTTTTTATCCAATCCCATTTTTTAATCTCTTAATATATATTGTCCCTTATTTGTTTCCAAAGTCTTTATTGTCTTCTCCTTCTTCTCTTCTTGTTTTATTTGTTGATTTACCTGTTCTGTCTTTTCCTCTGGTCTTTTTATTATCTCCTCTATTTCCTGTGTTTTATTATCTTTATTCATTTTCCCTTGTTGAACATTTTCTGATTTCCCCACAATGACATGCATTAGGTCTTTTATCTCCCTGTGATTCTTTATCAACATATCAAAAGTACTTTGGAGCATCAACATGATTTCTTTTTGAAATCCACTCATCTCCCCCGATGCAACATCTTGTCTTATTTTGATAGGTCCAAATATTGCTCAATAGCCTGTCAGTAGTCTGTCACTGCCCCAAAGTCTCAATTGTCTATGACCTCAGGAAGCCATCTTAGAAACCATTTGCTCAATCCTAGCGTTGCCCCTCAGGGGAATGCAATAGTTATAGTTCTTTGTGTCCCACAGTTAGTCAATTAGTTCCATTTTTCCAGGAAGATTTCCAAATATCTCCTTAAATCCATTCTGTAAGGTCAGTCCTAGATGCTGGCATTTAAAGTCACTTTCTTTAGATGTCTTCCATAATCTCACAGTGAAACCTCCAATAACTATGAAGTAGACAGATATAGAACAGTAGATATCACAGCAGTCCTCCAGGTGTTATTTATTTCCACTTTTTTTCCTTTGTCTTATCAGTACTTCCTAAGGTTGTAGGAGTTTAGTATATATTCCATTCACCAGCAAATGGTGCCTTCAGCTTAAATTTCAACATTGCACAGAATCTGACAAATATTTATTTCAGTTTTTTTTTCAAATAGTCAATATTCAGACAAATAATTCCAGCATTTCAAAATGCCTTACCAAAATATTGCAATAAAGTTTAAATATCTAATCTTTCTATTTTTTAAAGATTTTGCACTCTCCCTTTAGTTCCTTTTCTTTTGGATCTATAATTTTTCTCTCTGTAATTATTCACCATTTTGACAAGCATTTCAAAGAGTCTCTTTTCCAGGGTTTATTTTCTTTGGGGTTAGGGTCTAACCTTACCCAGTTCCAATCATTGTTCATCTACACCGTTCCAGCACATTCTTTGTTTCTTCGGCTGCCCCAGCTTCATGGCAGCCATAATGGCTGCCTCTCCTCCTCATCATTGGATGGGAGGGAATCCCTGGGTCCAGCTGGAGAGTCGCCACTCTCCATGACCTGCAGGGTGCCTCTCCTTTCTTTGTCACCCCTACAGGATGACTTTAGTCCCTTGGGGGGGGTCTCCAACAAGGAGGATTCAGTGCAAGTTTGGGAAGCCCAGCTCCTTGCATCTGATCTCAAACCAGAACAAGAACTTTATGGTACTTTGGAGAGGTCAGGGAAAGAATGGAAAAGATAGGTGGTTCAGAGAGAGAGAGAGAAATAGCTAATCTTTTGATACTAGTACAGCTATATCACATGTCATGAAAGATGCCAACAAACACCTAATAGTTTTTGCATTCTGTTAACTCAAAAGGTCTTAAGGATTTGTTTAGAGTTAAGAATGGGATATGGCAAAAAAAGATCATTTGTTGCATGTAAAAAGATGATAAGTTACTGAAATTGCTTATAGCTGTGATGTAAGAAGCAATCATTTCTTTATAAACACTTTTCTTCTTCTTTACTATATTCTTATAGTTCTATTTTTTCTTTGCTGCACCTTCTTTTTTCTTGTTTTAGTTGCATTATTGTTTTATCTTTTGAATTATAATTTTTAGTACATTCACTATTTTTTAATAAAAGAGATAGACCTTGCTAATTATCCTCAATATTGTTTCCAGTGGCTCTAGAAATATCTGTGTCTTTTGATAATATAAATTGTTCATCAAACATGCCAAGCATTCCTGTTCGTTGTGACCGGCTTCCCCTTTTTTGTATAAAAACTACCACAATATCTATTTTTATAGCTATAATAGGGTCTACCTCTTTTTGTGGAATTAACTCTATTTTTTTAATTAAGTGACTTAATTAAGTCCAGAATGCGGCCACGCGGGTGGTTATGGGCACAACTCGTTGCGCCCATGTAACACCCCTCCTGTGCGAGCTGCATTGGCTACCGGTGGTCTTCCGGGTGCAATTCAAGGTGTTGGTTACCACCTTTAAAGCGCTCCATGGCGTAGGACCAGGGTATTTACGGGACCATCTTCTGCCACCAATAGCCTCCCACCGACCAGTTCGCTCCCATAGAGAGGGACTCCTCAGGGTGCTGTCGGCCAAATTATGCCGGCTGGCGACACCCAGGAGGAGAGCCTTCTCAGTGGGAGCTCCTGCCCTTTGGAACCAACTGCCCCTGGAAATACGTACAATCTCTGACCTCTGGGTTTTTTGCTGTGCCCTCAAGACCCTACTGTTCTGACAGGCGGGGCTGTCTGTTTAAGTGGTTTTTAAATTGGAGTTTTAACTTGGGGTTTTAAATCAATTAAAAATGTTTAATTGATTTTAATTATTTTTAATGATGATGTCTGTATATTTATGTTTTTAAATTGGCTGTACACCGCCCCGAGTCCTTCGGGAGAAGGGCGGTATATAAATTAAATGAATATAACATAACTTATGTTAGTTTCTACATGTAGTCCTCAACTTTCAACCATTCAATTAGCAACTATTCAAAATTACAAAGTTACTGAACAAGTGACGTATGACTGGTTCTCCCACTTATTACTATCAAAGTGTGTGCTAACCCTAACCCTAACCACTTTCATTCCAACAGAAAACTTTTTCTCATATTGCTCATGATGCTGTCAAAAAGTTTGAAATGCGCCATGACCTCAAGATGTTTCATAGGCTGTACAATAGTGATTGACCAAAATCTTATTTAAACCCTATATCAATATTTTATTTTATGGGATTATAGGAACATTTTGTCAAAGTGCTTCATTTGCAAGCAAACTACACCTCTGAACTCATTTCTTGAAGTGACAAACCAGCTAGAGCTATTTGAAATCTTCTCAAACAAATTTGTCTTCTCTATATGTTATTGATATTTGAAGGTCTACATCATTTTAACCCTTTAAACATTTGATCAACTGGACCTTTGACACATGCAGATTCTAGAAAATAATGTAATCCCATTCCTCCGTATTGGATAACTGCATGCTAGTTCAAGAAGAACACATTGACTTTTGATGGTTGCAAAATGTGTATGTAAACCTGCAGTTTTAAAATCTACCCATCCTCCCTCCCTCCCTCCCTCCCTCCCTCCCTCCCTCCCATTTTCCATTTTATGCTACTTTATTTCTTTTTGTCCTTCAGCAACTGATAATGAAAGGCTGTGACTTGCAGTCTTGTCACCATGCTGATATTTATAAGCTCAAGGTTAAGGTTAAGCTCTGCCCCCATTTTCAAAGGATTTTCTTATCAATTTAGGTGGGAAGATGAGCTCCCACAAGACTTTGGGTTTACAGCATTATTGCTAATGGATAATACCTTGAAATACAACTTAGTTTAGCCAATCTTCACCAATTTGCTTTGACATTAAATTGCAAGGTTATGTATCTATATTTTTTGGGGGGGGAGGTAAGTATTTCATTGCTTTTCCATAATAACAACAAATGTCATTGTCACATAAGATTTTCCTGCACTTCTAGGTCCAAAATATTTTTAAAATGTCAGATTTTTATGCTGATAGGGGACTCTTATGTATGCACTCATTCTTCCAACAAGAAATAGGCATGTATATTGTTTGCAAGGCAGTGGTCATATTACTGGGCTAGTTGCTTTTACACATATAAAGAAGGAGACAGTGCACACATGAGCACATTTGTGGCTGCATTTTGTAAACTCACTGAATCACAACCAGGAAGGAAAGGATGATTTATACATCTTCAATCACTCATTTCTAAACAAAGATTCTCTACATGTCTTGAAGCTTACACAAAATCTAAATATCACCAACAGCAAGAATAGAGAAAATGACATTTATGCTTTGCTCCTTCCAGATCTTCTCATTTTTGGCCAACCTATTTGTAGTTTTTCTTCCATTTTCTTAGGAAGAAGTGCTGAAAGTAAGGGCCTTAATGAGGCAGTCATTCTAAACACGTACAGACAAAGAAGTGGTTTCCTTAGCAACGCGAACATTGCAAAAGCTCTTAGAGCAGTTATTTCCCTGTGTGGTAGACTTTCTCTCTGGTTTCCATAGCCTGTTAGCCAGACTTCAGGAGCAGAGGAGTCAGCCTGTTCAAGGGTTATGATCCTAAAAGGAATACAATAATTATCATAAATATTAACATATAGATGAAGTTTGATAGATGCAGGGTTTGGTTTAAAAAAGGGGGCACAAGGAGCTGACTCTTATGCATATCAGCCCCCAAGTATAGCTCAAGTGACCTTAACAGGTAAGCTGAATGCTTTTGCTAATATATGTGTCCTGAGGAGAGCATGTGGAGAGCTTTCATGTTATATATAAAAGCTAATGTAGTAGAGTAGGCAACGGCACTGGATTTGGCCAGTGGGATCATGGTGAATTTGAATGCTAAAGTACCCTTCTCCCTGCCTTGATAGAGAGATGATAAGAGAGGCAGCAAGAAGGAAGAAAAACACACACACATACAAATATGTGTGTACTTGACACAGTGGGGAAGGGGCTGTGATTAAGAGAGAAAAACCAGTTCCCCACAATGACACATACATAGGCCCTGAATTCTGAGGGTGAGGCTTTTAAAAATACAGGTTTTTAAAATCTAACTAGCTGACTTTCAATTATTTGTATTCTACTAGGAATGCAAATTACATTCTAAAAAGCATTATTATTATCTGGAGTCCTGAAACAAAGATACTGATAAGGAAAGAATAAAAGTTCTGAGATATTTTTTTTCTTCCTAATTAAGATTATCTTAATTTCAGAGTCATCTTCTTTGGGGATAAAGAAGATAATAAACTTTGAAAATCTGATTGTTCTTCCATTCTCAGAGGGAGCTACAGTAAATAACTCTGGTGTCCAGCATATACAGATTTTTTTTCCTTTTTGAAAAGGTTCAGATATTTCCAAAGTTTGGTGGAATATCAAAAGTCAGACATTCTTCAATTCTTAAAGTTTCACAACATATTTAGTAGAGGTCAAGCTGATCTCCCACTGATGTGTATGTAATGAACACACACACACACAGACACAAATTAAGCTATTTTTAATGTGTGTTGTTTTGATATAAGTTACTTCAAGGATAGCTGTAAATATAAAGATAAACATTGTATCTGCCATATTGAATGTAAGAAGTCTAGGATTTTAAAAAATGTAAACATTAACATTCAAATACATAAACTCCACTTAGCTATTTTCAATACAAAAAAGAAGCAAGAAAGTAGTGTAATTATAGAATACATATACAAAGTAATAATGTGGTTTTAGATATTAGACAAAATGTTAAAATGCTATTTAAATTTGCATAAAATAAAGAGTAAATGCCAAAAGTGTTCTTAAATACATGTTATATACTATATACTCTACAAAGAAATTAAAATTAAATTTTGGAGTTCAGCTCAGATGACAAAAAAGTCATTAAAAAGGCAGCTCAATTCTTAGGCAATTATGAAATAAGCATCACAGGGTTTATTTGGTCATTTTTAATTTGGGTAACAGAATGCAATGAAGTTGTTCTCATAGGTGAAAATTCCCAATTAGCTCCCTCCATTCTCCTTACCAATTCTTTTCTCCAAAATAATTTTTCAACAAGGGGAATATTTTTCTGCTACCAGCTTCTCAGAAGAGCAAAAACAAAGCAAAATATTTTGTGGGAGTTGGGACTCAGTATGTTCTACATTCCATTATGCTAATTTGCTATTGAAATTAGATTCCCACACACCTTTCCATGTACATTATAATATTTAGAATAATTCATGTTTTGTTTTTGTTTTGTAATTATCTATAAAGCCACAAAATCTTGTGCAAAAAAATTGAGTTATTTCAAAATAAATCTATTCAACAAATTCATAATAGCTAGAAATTGGGTTGTTCCCCTCCTTTCTTTCACAATGTATAAACAGAACTTGAATTAGCAATACTGTGGAAAATTATTGAAATCCAATTTCAGAATAACATGTCAGAACAATATAATGCATATTATGAAGATACTGTAAAGCAAGTGGGAAGTTAAACAAAAAAAAAATGGACCAAAATTATTTATTGCTATTGTGGCTGAGATGCACATTATTATAAAAATCATGTATATCTCCTGTTTTGTATGCATTCCACATTTATTTTCATGCCATATATCCTGTCACATCAGCACTTGGAATTGAGTAAGAAACTAATGAATGTTGTATGGGGGTTGGCTTGAAAGAGAAAGTTTTGTTAAAAGTAGTAAAAAATGATCTGCCTGACTTCTTTCTTTCTTTCTTTCTTTCTTTCTTTCTTTTTTTTTACCTTGGAAAAATTGCAGAGGAAAGACATTTTAGATTTGTAGAACTGCTGTAATCGCTTCAGACACAAAATGAATCAGACCTCCTGTTGGATTATGTGGGTGGCATTTCCACTCTTCCCTAGTGTGATAATTCACTGCCTGCAGCTGTGGCGTGCAAACTCAAATATTTTCTCTTTCTGTTTGGTTTTCAAAAGAGGAGTGTGAGACTTCACGGATCTTTTGGAGAGACATTAAAGTTGAGTAGTGTAAGACAAAGCAATCATTAAATGAAAAGGAAGCTTCTTGAAACAATGTATGGATCAGTGTAACAGCAATAGATTCCCTGTAAGCCTTAATGAGGAGATCTAAGGATTACTTCTCACCTGACGTTTTTATTGGAATAGAGCTACTCAGGTGAAAAACAAAATTTTAAAAATGCACACATTATCAATTATACATCTAAAGTTGCATTAGGGAAGGAAACCAGTTTCTTGCTTGTTGACGATCTGCGTACATTGTGTACATTGTGGTTGCCAATTCTGTCTAACTTTTTGAATATTTTGCCTTTTCTTCAAAGCAGCACCTCATCCACCCACCCCATTTTTCTCACAACAACCCTATGGGGTAGATTGTGCTGAGGTATAGTGACTGATCCAAAATCTTCCAGGCTAATTCCTTTAAACAATAATAAAAAAAGCTTTGTTAAATCAGATCAAAGGTTTTTTTTCTAATCTAATATCTATTCTAGTCCAAAATTTATTATTCATGCATAATGGTGTTCCCCACTGTCACTCTCCTTCAGCTGATATCAGGAATAATTTGCCACTGACGATATTGCTGGTAGTAGCAGCTATTTTTAACTTTATGCTCTATATTTAAGGCCTTATAAATTAACTACCATCAATAAATCTTTTGTTAGCAAACTTTATAAGTGAAGAACCATGAAGCTTTGAACAGGAGTATGAAGGCTATGGGTGCTACTTTCTTCACTCCTTTCTGTTGACATGGCCTTCTCATAGTGATGTGTTTTAAACCGAGAGATCACAGAGATCTTCTGGCTGCCCTTGTGGAAAATTTAGCTGATTCTGTCATTGCCCAGGAGACACCCAAGTTTAGGATTCCTACATTTTTGGGGGAGGCTTTTTCCTTGTGCCTGATCCATGTAATATACTGAAGAATTACTGACAACTGATCTAGCTATCTTAGAACAATATTTTCACAAATGGAGACTTTAGCCAAACCCAAGTAAAAGGTAATAGGCTTCCACCTCAGCTACAAGATAACCCACTGTGAACTAAATGTATTGCTTGAGAATACTTTTTTTTTTTTTTTTTTTTTGCTCATAACAAATACTTTAAACATCTAGGGGTTACTCTCAATAGAACATTGTCCTTCAGAGAACATCTCAAAAAGTCTGCAGCCAAACTGAGACCAAGGAATAACATCCTGCAAAAACTTGTGGTTATACCTCGAATTCCTCAGCTTCTCCCTTGTGATCTTCAGCTCTTGGCCTCATCTTTTCAATAGCAGAATATTGTTCCATGGTCTGGATAAATAGTAATCATGCCAGACTGATCAACACACATCTGAATCATACTATGTGCATGATATTTGGCATAATAAGATGTACTCTAGTTTTTTTTAATTGATTAGCCCTTGGGCCATATCAAAGTGCAAGTTCCAGACACAAATTATTACTAAAATCTTATAAAAACAATTTAAAATGGAATTGGATAAAATACAGTTTAAAATGATAGCTTTGATTAGCCTTTAGACCAATTCAAAACACAAGGTGCAAACACATATCACCAATAAAATCTTATACAAACAATTTAAAATAAGAGTAGGGTAAAATACAATAGTTATAGGATAAGATATAATATAATTTAATACATAAATATATAAAATAGAAAAAATGACATAAAATTATATTTCGGTGTCATCCTTACAATCTACCCCAATCAGTCCCACATATGCAGATCTCAAGCGAACCATTTTGTTTAAGAACTGTGCTGCATTAAATGTTATTTTCAGGTTCTGGCCACACATAAAGTTATTTTGGTATGGGGATCCCAATGGGTCATTCGTTTGGTATATGGACCAAGGTACCTGTCTCTCACCCCCTTATACAAGCAACAGTCAAATTGCAAATGCAGAGACACTCATTGTAATCTAGTTATCAGTTTAAGTCATATTCCTCTACCACATGGGTGTCAAAACTCACAGTATCATGTTGCCATCATGTAACATATTGTGACGTTTTTTCCCTTTGTGGAGATGGGGTGGGCATGGCCTGCACGTGATGCATCCAGCCCACAGGCTGCCAGTTTGACACCCGTGCTCTACCACATCTATAAAGTGAAAACACTATATTGTGAGAGTATAAGAAAATAATAAGTAATACCTGTCAATCAATGCAGATATTACAGATGTTATAAACAACAGGCGTCACTCCAGACATCCATCTATTAGGATAGCTAGTAACTTGCTGGGTAACAACTTCAGGCCTGGATGTAAGAATGGTCTTCTCCTGCTCTTCCAGAGTATCACAACATACCCAGCTTTATAGCTGAACTGAAAAGAATTCAATCTACCCTGTAGGACTTGGTCAATCCTCAATAGAATTAGGTGGGTAAGTCTCCTTTGTAACTGAAAAGTGGCCTGTAAATCTGATCTAGAAGGATAAATCCTGAATCCTATTGGGGAGTAAAAGACAGCCAAGACAATAACACGATGCTCCTACTGAGTACCAGACAAAGGGTGATGCACAGAATATAAAGATGCCCAATAAGGAGTATGCAAATATAGAAAAGAATAGATCAAATTACTGACTCACGTTTCCTAGTATCTCTATAGAAACGCTTCAAGTATGGTAAAGAAACAGGAAGAAATAGGTGTTTTAATGCAGGACCGCAAGCAAATTTAGCATGCAAGTTTTAACTTAGTGGGATAAATATACTACATATCAGCAAAATACAGAGATTGAAATGTAGAAATTA